ATATTTTGCTATATGTATTTGTATTAAAAAATATACTTTTAACTTGTGTTCTAAATATAAAAAGTTAGAAAACCCCTTTAATTTATTCAAATAAAAGGAGGTGAGGTGATAAAAATAAAAACATATCCTATTCTTCCGTTTCCTTTAAACTAAATATACTTTGCTCTTTAAAAGTTGTTACTTCCTTTTTTTCATCTTTATAACGAAAAAAGTTCTTTCTTTTTTTTTTTTTTATAGTTTAAATCATAAAACATTAACTATTGCATGATAAAAATCCCTAATTATAGCTGCCTCTCTCTTAGTGGTAGAGTTAGGAATTTTAGTCAAGGGGTCGAATTTTTAAGTCTCAAAATAATACATTATAATTTCAAAAACTTACTTTTATATCATAAATTAAAATAATACTCGACAAGTTTTCATGTCACAAAATCTATTTATAATAAAGTCTACACTAAATGTCTGAACTATTTCATATTCAATATATTTCCTTTTCAATATAAACAATCAAAGAGTTTAAAAGGAATTCATCTTCCATTTTGCTATAAAATCTCGTTTTAAAAATTTTCATGGCAAAAAATCCTCTTTTGATTGTTGCCATAGAAATTGAAAGAGTCAACACCAAAGTTGTTAACTTGTAAATGAGACTGTAGACTTTTGATTTTCTTGTCTCCACAAGCCATTGATATAGCTCAGAAATATTTGACAAATTCTGAAAACCTTAATCACAACCTATTTCAATCTCATAATGTCGAAGCTTTCATCTCAAATGAAGTTTCTCCATCTCTGAAAAATCCTAAGGATAGGGTTTTCTACAAGCTTACAAATATGATCAACATTGAAACTCTTGCACCCATTTCTAGGATCTAAAGCATCACTAAAAGTCAATAGTTCCATTGCATTCTCATTAAACCTGCAATTCAATTCTTACAATTGAGAATCTATTATAGCATTGAAAATATCTATTCGATAATGATACTCAACAGTAATAATATCTTGTTGATTATGAGCAGATCCTTCCCATGCAACATATTTGGTAAATATATAAGGAACATCTATATTGTTATTGTTACAGAATAATTTTACCTTTTCAAGTAAAGAATCTCATCCACTTTCTCTGAATTGTTGAATGAGAGTCTTTGTTGATTTGACAAGATTTAAAGCATTCAAAATATCTTGAGATTTACACTGCAAAGCTTGACAAGGCAAATCCGTGATCTCCATGTTTTCTTTCATAAGATGTAAAACAAAAACAAACTCAAAAGACATCAACGTATTATATCCTGCAAATAAGAAAACATATATTACTTGCCTTCAAGATTTCCTTTTAAGATGTAGAATTCAAACAAATTCTAAAAAAAATCAATATGTTATATTACCTTTAAATGCTTCTCCACGTTGTGAAGAAGTAGATCTTTCCTCAATCAACTTGCTTAGAACAGTAGAAGTTTCACTAAACATTTTTAACATACTTAAAATAGATTTCAAATGTGAACTCCAATGAGTGTTACCAGGTTGCTGTAAAGTGCCAATTTGATTAAGGGCCTGTTTGGTATAGCGGTTTCAGGGTAGCGGTTTCAGGGTAGCGGTTTCATGGTAGCAGTTAATGGTTTTACCTAAACTGCTAAATATAGGTGTTTGGTAAATTTATATATTTCGAAACCACTACAAATAAAGTGTTTGGTAAAATTTTTATTTAGCGGTTTAAGACTAGCGAATAGCGGTTAAGGTTCAAACCACTAGCGGATTGAAAAAACTAATTTATGTAGCTTTTTATACCAAACCGTTAATGGATTAAAATTTTTTAATTTTATTAACAAATTTATCCATTTGAATTTTTTAATTTGTGGTCACATTTTTTAATTAATAATT